TTTTCATTTGCATAGACGAATAACGAGATCACGAGGTCGGATATCAAGAGACCGAGGAGAGCGCGGCACGATCCGAGAAACACGGTTTCTAGCCGTTCGTCAAACATTATCGCACGTCGACTCGCGTTTTATCCGCGCGTCGAGCAGGCTACGTTATCGCGACGAAAGCGAAATTTCCCAGGATTTAACCGAGTTGGTCGCGCGCGTGTTGATTACCCGACGCGGGTTAGGGAAACGCGATTAGACGTGTGTCGGCCCCGCTGACTTTTCGCAGTCGCATCGACTTAGCACGGGGTAATAACGCCAAGCGAAAAGGGTTTCATCGTGTCAAGGATGAACGATAGTCCTCGTCGTTGAAAGCGGAGAAAGAGAGCGCGGTGAATCCGATTCCGCGCGGAATCGTCGATGTCGAAGAGCGGATTACGCAATTTTCTGCCTTTCCGCTCCTCTTTCCCCTCGTTTCGCGAACATTAGTTAAGATTACGCTCGCGTCGCATCGGCCGTAACGCGAAACGCTGAAAAAAGGAGTGGAGGCGGTGTGCAGGAGAAGAGGGAATAAAATATAGAAAAAAAGCGTAGCTGAAAGCGCAGCCAGTCCGTTGACTGAGCGGATTAAAATGGACGCGACAGGAGACGCTCTGGATATCACTTTTCCAGCGCGAACGATAACATTCGGGATGTTCGAGGCCACCGGGTATCTATTGAAATTCCCGTGGCTCCTGTTTCAACGGGACCAAATCCTACGGGTTTTCCATCGGTTACGACGTTCAGACGAGGTCGCGACAACCTACTGGCTGCGCGGCCTTTTCGACCAATTGGAGCGTAGTGCTCGGTTAACGCGTCGTACGTCCGCGGCGACCCTCTCGAGCCAGCGCCATCGATGTCTCCTTTGTTCGCCGAAGAATCGAAGGATATCGCACGGGATTAAACGGGATTAAACGGGATTAAACGGGATTAAACGCGATTAACGAGGACCGGCGTGACGAATGCGCTATTCGGCGCGTCGCGTTCCTGAGAGCACCCTCGAGTGACGTATCGGTTTCCCAACTATCCACGCGTGCTTCGCGCCAGTTTCCAGGTTCCTTTTCCTCTCCACGATCTCGCGAGAAAAAGCTCCTGTCCGGAATCTCGGAAATTCACTGTAACTTGAAAACACCGTGTCTCGCAGATTTACGAATGAACCACGAGAGTACGAGCTTCCTCGAATTCGCTGCTTCACGTCGAACGCCCAACTCGTACTCTGGATCGGTGTTGCGCAACAACGGTGTTGCTTCGTAACGTATGCAAAGTACGTCCGCGGAAAATTCACACGCGCGCACGTCCTTGTCGCCGCTCTCTTCGCCGCCACTCGTCCCATAAATCCCGCTGCATTTTCACGTGGCATTAGCGGAGTTCGTTTCACGCATGACGAAGCCGCCATTATCCGACGTCCACGCGGAACACTCTCGTCTTTAACTTTGTATTTACATAACGACGCGATGCATCACCATACATTATATCGGACGTCTGGTCGTTTCCATATTTTCGTGCCTCGCCTCGTCGTGCCTTCTTCGACCCTGCTTTCCCCGTATACGCGGCGAGCTTTCCATGCCGCCGGTGACACGGAAGTAACGCACGATCGATTACACGAGCCGCTTATAAATAGCCCGGTTCGTGTGTGGCCTCGCGAGGCTGGGATTAAAAGCGGAAGATCGAATCCTCCTAAGAATAGACCGCGTCGAGGCAAGATAGAGAGAGAGAGGGAGAGAGATCGGTGGATGTTTCGTTGGAAACTATGGCTCACGCGGAGCCTCGAGAGCACGGGGGTGGAAAGTTGCGCGCTATCAGTCCGATACGGAGCTAAAAGTGCGAGCGACGCGGAAAAAGAAAACGGATTACCAAGATCAACCGGGTAATCCGGCCAGGCTCGGACCAAATCTGGCTAATTCGACGACACGTAGTCGACAGCGAGTCGCTTCAGCGCCGGACGAGCTTGGACGAGGCTGTCCGGTAATAAAAAGCGCCCTCCCCGGGGACCATTAAGATATCCGATATATCGATCGTCGTTTAAACCGTCTCCGTCGACGATTTTATAACCGAATTTTACAATACAGCGCGGACGATGTCTCTCGATTGGACGAGCTAACAATTTTTCCCCGATCGAACGAACCAGCGCCTCGATTTCCGTCTTTCCGCGGATATAATACCAGCCATAGTTCGAATTTCCGTGGTCGGATCGCGTGGTTCACGGTTACGTTAAACGAGCGGCTCCTCTTTCGGGAAACGATGGAAGCGTACGAGGGGGGTGGTTCGAACGCTTCACGGTTAGTCGACCGTAGGAAAATTAATTCGATCGTTAGGCGAAAAGGCGAGAATGGGATTAGGATTCGGTGTAGTCGGGCGCGAAGGAGCCAGTCGTTCGGCTTGGTCCTTTTACCTCGGCCCGTTGCCGGATTAGCGAGACTTAACACGGTTATTGTTTTCGTAATCCACAGGGTACCTCTGCTTCCGCAAACATTTTCCCTCGAACGCGACACTCGAGGACGTGGGCGTCGTGACTCGCTTACGCGGTTTAAGTAGAACAGGTCAGCCATTGATCAGGCATTTTTAATCGGAACACGCATGCAACTGATCAAGCGTTTTTTAAGTGGAATGGGATCACCGTTGGTCAGACACGGTTTAGCAGAAACTAGTTATACTGTTACAGGGATACTGTTTGATTGGCAAATGTAAAGAATAAGGGATGTTATTTTATTCGAGAATATATATTTATTGCGAGTTGAACGAGACTAGGTATAAAGTATAGACTAAAAGACTAGACTTGTAGCGGCATTATTCTCACTCTCGTCGATAGATGGATTCCTATTTGAAGGAGGTTCGAGGATTTTCTCGCAAGTCCTCCCAAGTAAAAACCCTCTGTTTTCTATATATCAGTAGTATCTCCGTCTAAGGCAGGATCTGCTAGGTAGCCTTACCGATGAGTCCACTAACAGGTCCAAGATGAAACGCATCCCTTCCTTTCCCTTTCATCCCTTCTAGCACCGCCTCTACGTCGAGGATGTCTGCAACAGGCCGATAGCAACAACACTGTCGGAGGACCCCCCATAGACTGATAACTACTCTATGACACTCCTACTTTAATTCCCACTAAAAACTCCCTAAAGGACTATCTTAAAACAGCCTTTACACCCTTATTTAAACTTAGCAGTCTCTTTTTTTTTCACACGCAGACTTTCTTTCTCGAATCCTCATAAATATCCCATCCGTGCATATCCCTTTGCACTCGTTCATTTGTCCTTTCACGCGTACTCCAGATATTAACCTGATCATTAACCCTTTGCACTCGAGAAGTGACTCTCAGTCAACATTTAATCAGATTCTAAAGATCGACGTTAATTAATATATCAAATTTAAAATTACCGAACGATGTGTAGAATGTCGAAGAAAAATAATTCTGCGTCTTAATTTGCATATGATTTTTCATTTACCATTTTAAAAATATCGTCGACTCTATGACAGAAAGTCTTCGAATTACTATTTTTCTGTAATGAGAAAGTCGTCGAGTGCAAAGGGTTAATCCATCATCAACCAGGTAGGCCCAAGTGTTGTTCCCTTGCATTCGCTCTCAAACTCTAGCATCCTACATATATGTACATAAAGTACTGTCATTGTCACCAACTTCGTTATCGCGTGTGTCAAAATTGCCATCCTCGGAACAGCGGAACGGTACCTTTTAATACCTTATAAAATTTTGTTTAATTTCTATTGCGAGGTAAAGCTAGTTTCGTTAACATTGAACCAATTTGTCCCCTTCGTCTACAATAATACTGCGCGAGGCTCGCGGTAAGGAATTCGAGCAAAATAATAGTAAGAAACGTGGCTCGTAGATAGGCTCGATGTAAACATCGTCAGACTTGGACTGGCTCGAACCAGTTCTTGGTTAATTTTCGCAGATGTTTTCCTGTCTCAGTTACGTGTTATTCTTCGCCGTGTTCGGACGAAATGGCTCGACGCGTGACCGACCTTCCTCTCGACTATGGCGTTAGGCATCGGAACATAAATGGTAGGACAGCGTGTTAGAATTTAAAAATCGTGTTTTACGTAAGTGCAAAGAGTATCCTACGAGTTGCGAACAAGTTCTAGACCCATTAGCTGTATTCCGAAATAGTGGCAGGGAATAGACAGTGGTAAATTTCCAACTCGTCGAATCGTTTTTCGATTTCGGGGCTCGAGCGTTCGCTTATCAACGCGCGATGTTTATGCTCTCGCTTTGGGAAGCGACAACGGTGTCAGTAAGCCATTTACATTCGTACCCGCCGAATATAAAGCGAGAAGTTTTAATTAGTTGCCGTTTCGCGTGATTTTATTACACGGTATAATTACACGCGCTGACGGAACCGGATGATAATACGTGTTTCGTCCGCAATATGCTAATGAGGTTTTCAAAAAGCCGGAGCCCCCGTGCTTGTAACAATGGACTGCGAAAATGGTAGCTCGGTTTCTAGAATGCCTACGACCGATCGATAGGCCCGTGTAGCAGAAAGCAGCTACAACGAACAGGCAGAAACAGGTGATCGACCCCAGGCTTTCGCGGAACGTTTGATGGGGACGTTTACGCTTCGCGGAAATTTCTGAATAATTTTTCTCGTCGGTCGGATAAGGCGGAGAAAAGTGTTTTACCATTTAGAATAGGAAACCGGTCGCTGCGACTCGATCGGAGATGCTCGGGTAATTTTTATTATTCACGAGCAACGCTGTGTTCCCTCTTTCCCCTGTTTTCCCTCCTTTTTCCGGATTAAGGATTAGCGTTAATTTGTCGCGTTTCGCGTAGCACGTTGGCCCTGGTTTTATTTAAAAAAGCCGAGGACGAGATATTCGCGGGTTATGAAAGGAACGAGCTAAACCTCGCGAAGATCGTGCCACGGATTTTTATTCCTCGCCGGTTTTTAAATGGATACGACGCGTAGGTGATCTGACCGTTTTAATGGCTGTATTAATCCCCGAATTTCTGGTTTGCACAGGATGTCCTGCGAGAGCTGGGGCAGAAAAAGCCGCAGCTGGACGAGCTGGTGCACACCGCGGAAGCGCTTCGCGCGGACACGAATAGGCAGCAAGTGCACGGTAAAGGTAAGCTGGTTTCTTTTTCCCTTCTATTTCGACACTTTTTAACGGGCCGAATTTTTATTTCGCGTTTCCCATTTAATACCCGCCGCTTCGATTTAATTCCAATTACGCGGGTATTCGCACCTTGTTATTCTTCGTCATCTTCCTCGTACGTGCGAGTTTAACGCGACCATTTATTAGGTTAGGCGATAGCTCGTTGACGTTTCTCGTGCATAAAGCGCGAAGTCGCGAGATTTATCCGGATAACGCGAAACGTCCGTCCGGTTCGAAGCGTGTCGCGGAATTTGGCGAGACGAGGATATCGTCACCGCGGAAGATCGATATCCGTATCGATACCCGACGACCTTAATAAGTTTTTGCCGTCGTAATTGATAGCGGAGCACGGCCACTGCTTGCCAAGCACTTTTCAGGTCTCCGGCGAAATTCAGGAGTTTAATTATCGGCCTTGATTGCTCGGCCAAAGCCTGTAATAAATTGAACCATCTGTTCCACGGGACAGCTACTTATTATACCGAGTATCTTGCTCTAGGCCGTCCTTCCCAATCGTTTCTTACGTCTGATTGAATGGATCGCGTGCAAAGGAATCCCATTGTCAGCGAACTTCTTATGAAATCCTCCATTTGTCTTTCGTTTTATATTATACAGGCTGATTCGAAGCTCGCCGATCGGATATCGAGGCATTCCACTCTGATATCTAACCTAGAAAACTCCGCGGGAACGCTTCCTGTAGTTCTTGGTTCTTCTCGAAAAATCGAAGCTTCGTTATACCCACGCGTCGATTCGGTCTTCGTTAATTCCATATGGAAGAACGCTACATTCGTTCACAGCGATAAGAAACTTTGGTTCTTCTCGAAAAATCGAAGCTTCGTTATACCCACGCGTCGATTCGGTCTTCGTTAATTCGATATGGAAGAACGCTACATTCGTTCACAGCGATAAGAAACGGGGTAGTTGTGTTTCGTTATTGCCGATGCCGCGATACTTGCCCGAACGGTAATTGCAACTGTTAATTGGCGACTCGTTGATCCAGCCGACCGTTGGAAATTAGCCCGGCTAACCGATCGACGTTGGGTGCGCGATTCGATTGATTCGGAAACTTTTTAAATCCCCGCGAATCTGGCGTGGATTGACGCAATAGAGGGTCGAGCGCGGAGATTAACGGCGGTGCCGTTAATTGTTTCAAGAGCCCTGGAAAACTCTCTCTCCCGCCGATGTCGCATTGTTCCTTCTATATTAGCGTGCCGGTACTTGTCAGTCCCGTCTGGTACTACGCTCGTGCATTATAGCCAGACGATTCTTTCGCCCATTGTTTTCAACAGGCCGCCCACTCTGCGTGAAATAGGGAAGAAAGGGTTTCGCGTACCGGGCGTATCAACCAGTTGGTGCCCATCTCTTGCGTAATGTGTCGCAACCTGCATTTCTCCCCGAGGATTCTTATTAGCCACGCCTGCGCTTTCTTCCCTTTACATATTTTGGCACAGGTATCTACGTCGATATCGCGCGAGATCGCGACACGTTGTTTTCACCACACGGGGTACACCTCTTCCGCGAAACAGGAAGTTCAAAGTTCGCGTCGTATCGATGTTTCGACATTTCGGTGGAAATTTGCCAATTTTTCTGTCGAACCGCGAAATCTTCGGTTCCTCGGTGAAATATTTTTCGTTATTATTTCCCAAGGAATCGTTAGCGTCGAAATTTTTCCCATTTGAAAAATATTGCGATGCGCGAGATAGATGGACGCGATAAAACTTCCCACGATTCGCGTAGTCCCGTTTTTTGCACGTCTTGTGCCACATACGGTCTGGTATTATCGAGGTGAAAAATCACTTTGTTCCGACTGAAGAGTCCCGGACATTTCGCCGCCATTTCTTTCCTTAACTTTTCCTAAGCTCGGTTCCCGCCTGAATTAATGGTTTCGTTCACCGAGAACAACTCGAAACGCAAAATTCCTCGATAAATCCAGCGAATGGAAAAAATTTCACGGACAAGCTCGTCGAGGTTTACGCATCGTTGCGAAACGGCTTTTTCATCCCTGTCCGGCCGTTGTATTCGTTGGGATTGTAGCGAATCCACTTCTCACCCCGGTCACTCGTAGCTTTAACCCCTTAAGCGCCCAGGTCGTGACACTCTCGGATCTGACTCACGGATTTTACAATTTAAAAAATTTCATCCAATATACTTTCCCCTGTTTCTGACTGTAACTCGTGTCAGGTTCTTCTTCTTCTTTTAACAAACCGAATTACCAAAATAAAATTTGTATTCGGCGAATTTCTACAAATTTGCAGGGCACATAGGGATTAATATCGTTCCCTCGCCATCGCGTGCAGAGAAACGCATTAAAGTACCCAGCGAATCGCAGGAACGTATCGTGACGCGAACTCGTGAGACGTGGCTGGTACCCTGGTAAAAATTCTACCTAAAATGCAACGCGTGACGCCGAGGTAAAGACTCGCCGCGCTTCTCTCTTTAACATGGTCGGGAAGTAGGAAAGTTGGAGTGTCCAAAGTTAGCCAAGTTTATCGCTCAGGGGTAAATGCAAAAATAAAAGGGTTGCCGCGTTCTATCGATTTAAAAATCGCTGGTACTCGCAGGTTGCCGCTTTACGGCTGGCAACCCGATGTCTGTTTTTTCGTCTTGGCTGGCGTGCACGTGCCTCCTCGAGATTGAGCTTGGTGCTGAAGTGGCTCGACACGGCAGCCCCGGTTATATCGCAGGGCAGCCGCGTTTCGACCGTTCTCCACGGCAGATTTTTCATAACGGTCACGTTATCAAACCGTGGGCAAATGTGCACCTAGGTCTAGAAGCGCCGCTGTTCCCTCGCAGCCTTTAATTACCGGCACGAAACTCGCGGGACATGCTAACGCTCTCGCGTTTCACCTCCGTTTCTTCGATGCATCCCCTTTCCCGTGCACTTCGATTGTTTCGTGCTTTCTTCCGCTTTGCCTCCGCGTTGTAACGTACCCGCAACTTCGTACATCGCGTTACTATGCAGCCTGGCACATTTTCGTATCCCGGAAGTACGAAATCTTGGCGGGGGACGGGATTCGGTGTCGGTATCGCGAGCCCCGCGCGTAATTAAGGCAAATTGAAAATATCTCGAGTAGATTTGCGATGCGAATCAGAGTGGAGGGCACAAAGGAAACGGGGCCTTCGTCATAAATAAAGATCCTGGTGGAAATCCGAGGGAGCGTTTTCGCGAGTCGGAGCTACTTTCGCGATATGGGGGAAGCCATTTTATACGGAGTCATCGTTAGTCGAGCGTGCAAAATGACTTCATGAAACATTCAATTCCTGTCGTTTACGCAAACGATCTCCTTTCTACGTTGAATTATCCGGGCTGGAAATGTTTGGCGATATCGAAAGACACGCGTGTCGGAGTTAACGTTCGAGGCAGACGGCGCCGGCTTCGCCCGCGAGCACGATGGTAGTTGAATGTCTGGGTGTATCGGTATCGGTTTATTTCCCCCAAAAAGAGGTACGTAGATGGATGCAACTGGCTGGCATATACGTCGCATTGATTCCCTTTCCGTCGGATTTCGTATTCGTCGCCGGCACTTGCGCGACTTGTGACGGATAATGTACCGGCTGGCAGAAGAAGGGACGAGAAACGGTGGAAAACGTCTCGAGATAAGCCATCGTGGCCGCTTTTGTCCCGACGCGACGGTTACGTACAGTCAGCGAGGGAACTTTCTTTGAGGAAAATTCCACGCATTGTCTTTAGGCGTGCCGCGAGGCCTGGCGTCGCTTAATCGAATACTCGATCTCCTTCGGCATTGTTGCTAAAACCCTCGGTCGTAGAATTAAATTCTTCCCGTGTCGTTAATTAAACCCCTCTATTAGCCCGATAGGGCGGAAGATTCGCGTCCGGCGCTACCGGAAATCGAATTAACCCTAGGCGCGAACTAGTTTTCGGCATCGATCGCTGGGAACCGCGTTAAGAGAGTCGTGATTTTCTAGACGAATATTCGCCGTGTATTAAGCGTCGAATAAATATTTCCCTTTCAACGTCGCAATTCCGAAAATTTCCTAGGATTTCCACATTTTTTATGCAGTACAATCCTCTTAGACCCGTTTCACCGGCTGCGCGGAAAGTCTCCCTGACGCGCTGGTCAGACATAATCTAAGTAGTACAGTCCGCACTCCGGCCAGACATAAATTAAGTAGTGCAGACCAGGGATTGGTCGGACGCTGGTATCCAGTTGTCTTTTCGCAAAAAATTTCAGTACTGGCGATTTCTTACGGTGTTTACGCAACCCTGTGTATTTTCTCCAGGATTTCCAACCCAGTTAGGAGAGCGCAAAAGTGGAGTAAAATCGATATTTGCGTCGTTGGCGTATTTGCGAAAATTCACCGCGCGAGATTCACTCGGTATAGCGATTCGATTTACATAAACACGTTTCCGCGTATGCACGTTCGCACCCATCGTATCCGAATCGGGGATATATCGATATCGATTATACTCGCGCGTTAACAGCTGTTCGGAGATGATCCTTGGTTGACGCATTCTCGAGGTCGGTCCGGTGATCTCCTCATCTCATTCCTGCGTGTGGCTTTTAGGACACGCGTCCGTGGACGTCCGTGGACCATGGCGATAGGGCGGTGTACGAGATAGCAGTCGACTTGCACCCCAGGAATGAAGGCAAGAGCCACTTCAAAGCCGACAGAGTGCACGCGCTCGCGCGCAGCCTCACCGGCGTCCGTGTGTTCACCGCGTGTGCACCACGGTAGATGGATACACGTGCACGCAGCCTCAGGGGATAAACCGTGCCAATAACGCACCTCATTCTTGTCGCGTTACATAGTCCACGTATGTACGGCCGCTACATCCGTTCCGCTTTTTTAACTCGACGATACGATAGAGAATTCCAGAGCGAGTCACGGTTGCGTAACGGCCAACGTGAATCGACAAAGGGCGATCCGATTTTTCGATATTTTCCCACGAAACTTCGCCTCGAACGGGCTCCTTGCTCTTTTCTCTGCCTTTGTTTTCGCCCCGACTCGGC